CAACTTAAATTCTACGATACATAATTAAAGAATGTTTCTCGCTTTACCTGCCACATTAAGTTTAAGTTGAATTAAATGATTTCTAGACATTATTTGCCTTTTTTATGATGAGCTGCGTTGATCTCTTATCTCCCGCTTACACAATCAAGATTGATTGTTTGAAATCTTACCCATTACTTTGACTGATGTCAATTCGCAAATGCATTAAATAAAAAACGAATTATTGAATCGATTAAAATTTGTAATAACAATTCATCGTCGCAGTCAAATCAATTGCGTAGGAATGTAAATAAAAAGCCAATCAATTATTTGATGACAATAACAAAAACTTATAGACTTTAAACCCACTGCAAGCTAAGACACGTGCATGCAAGTTCCGTTCAAATAATAGATAATTAAGAAATCTGAATACGATTTGAAACGAATCTTAGATACGGAACAACCTCCCCCACCTAAAGTAAACAAACATAATATATACATATATCGAATTCGAATTGCAAGTCGAATTAATTTTTTTTGTATGCAACGCACACAGCATAAATAAATAAATAAATAAATAAATATTGTATGACTTTGGTAAATGCATGTGACTCTCTTCTCAAATGCATTTTCGGCATTTAAGAAAACAAATTGAAAAACGATAAGCATAGGATTGTCTGTCGATGCATATTATTTGGTGTTGCAAATGAAATGTCAAAACAATTATATCGCATCTTATTGTAGACGATATTAAAAGAAGTGCAAAAAAAAAAAAAAAAAAAAAAAAAAAAAAAAATGATGAGATAACCTTATGTTAATTAAAATACAGCGTAAAAAATGACAATGGATTATCATTACAATTTTTAACAGTTATCAGGGCACCGGTAGACGATTGCATGCATGTATGCATGAATGTAATTAATTGTCATTTAATAAAACTGATGCTATAAAATTCAAAGTTTAAAGTCAAAGCCTTAAGATTGACACCACGTCAAAGGTGATCGATCATATGTTACAAAATAAAGTGCGCACTTAACGGAATTGCATTTGAATTTTAACACCAAAGCACCGTTAATCATTTTTATACCAGTCATCGAAGGATGAGGGATTCATTTCATTTTGTTAAAATGTTTGCAACGCCCAGAAGGAAATCTCAAGGACCCCGCAACTTACATATATATATATTCTATATATCCATCTGTCCGTCTGTCCGTCTGTCTGTTATAAACATTCTCCTGGCCGCAAAGATGAAGCTATCGACTTTAAGTTTGGCAAAAACATGGGAGGTTCTTGCATGCACGCTGATCAAGAACACCGCCCACAATACTACGTAAAAAAGCGGACTTTATCGAAGTTTTTTGCTCATAACTCAAAAACTACTTACTATAGCAGATAAATCCTACAAAAACTTCAACGTATATTCTATAGACGATGACGCCAGTACCTCTACAATAGAGTAGAGGTAGAAGGTAGCACGCTTCAGTTCAATAAAAAATCACTCTATAACGTCTCTTCACATGTTGCGTTAGATATTTATTTGTTGATCGACCAAAGATACTTAATTCTTTTGCTATCATTCCCTTCTCAGTGACGACTTCGTTGCGCTAGTCTGATTACTGTAATCAACTTATCCCCGCCACAAAAAGGTAATATTACCGTTCAAGCCCATTCCAGGTTTTTTACGGGTTTTTACACTGCATGTACTGTATTGTATTGCGTCCATTGTCAATTAAACGGGGAAAGTAGTCTTTTCGACCTCAGAAATCGACCTCTTCAAAAATTAATACAGAAAAAAAAAGAAGGAGCTGCCTTTACATCTCAATCGGATAAAGCCTAAAGGTACAATTTTAATGTAGATAAGTTATTTATCTAGGGATTAACTTCAAGATTATATGAAAGTGAATGTTATTTAAAAAATTTCGCACATTGCGGGCAACAACAGATAGGTTGCTCGGCAAACTCATCTCCTGAGCTAATCTAATGATCGATCCATTTTTTTTTTTTTTTTTAAAAGAGAAACATAGAAGGGGAGATAGGAAGATAAAGAGCGAACCGAAGCGGTAGGAATCCAAATAGTTCTCTATCGATCGAAATAAAGAGTGCTGAGAAGCATTATTATCTGGATAGTGGGAGAAGTATTGAAGTGTTTCCTGGACTAGTTTAGCAGTTTTTAGTACGAAGCCGATCATGTGCTGAAAAATAATTTTAATGCATATTTTCAGCTATTGTAGGCTTTTAGTTTTTAGCTTTCACTTCAATTACTAATATTGTGTGCCTTTCAGTTCAGTAATTCATTAGATTTTCAATGTATTATAGCGAACTAATTCGACTAAATCCATTTGAATACATAAATATTCCGTTGATTAATCAATCCGGTCATCTGAGTGCAACTTCGTACTCATTGATATATTTTGATCCAAAGATGAATTCTTTTGAAAACTGAATTGGATCGATTCATATAAAGTTGTATTTTGAAAAAGTCGTTATATAAAACCAAATTGTAGAGAAGGATGAAGAATCGTATTTTGGCATAATAAGTGAACGTGTAAAATTTCCATCGAATCATTTTTTTAAATGCAATCTCTGTAGAACGCTTCTTACCAAAAAGAAAAAAAAAAAGGTAAGAAAATTAAATTCGGTCGAGACCGAATCTTGTACACTCATCACCGTTTACCCCAAAAAAATGCAAAAGAATTAAAAGAACAAACTTCTCATGCTCTATAATATGAAGTTGGTGTAGTTGATTGTTTCTTTTTTCAAAATAAAAGTTCACGTGGACGTTGTAGTCATGCCTTTTGAAAAGTTTAGCTCAATTTCAAACTCTAACTGCAATATGGTTACCACAAATATAATACTACAAAGTTGCGCAAACAGACAGATGGACAGACGAACAGGCGGGCATTTTTAAGTGCATTGAAGAGTTGTAACTGGCCAAGGATTTCTATATTGCATGGGACTTGTGAAGCTTGTTTCTTTGCGTTATAAAAAAGAATTTAACTTTGATAGACCCTAATATTGGATAGGCGTGGTCAATTTTTTCCATTTTGTACATTTATTTGCTATACTTTATGAGTAATGAGTAAAAAACCAATTTTTCATTCCTTTTGAGCAACACAAGTATTCTCAGTTCACGTGGTACTGTGGGCGAGTGCTTCGGCCGATATGGCTCATTTTCAATACCAACCTGCGTGCAAGAATTTCCACTCTTTCTACCAAGCTTGAAGTCGATAGCTTGATTTTTGCGCGCCACCAGACATTACACAGACGGACGGACAGACAGATGGACATGATTAAGTCGGTTAGGAATTTGATGCTGGTCGACAATATATATACTTTGTGGGGTCTTTGATGCTTCCTTCGGGGCGTTGCAAACATTTTGACAACTCCTCATCCTTCGGTGATGGGTATAAAAATAATCATAATAACAAGTAAATAAATAAATACGCCTTCGTATGACAAGAGAATTTCATTTTTATTATTTTATATCTCATCAATTCTCATTCAAGATAATAAATTAATATGCAAAGTTTCCTGTAATAATTTTGAAGCATGTCGACCTATTTTTCTATGCAAAGACGCTCGTGTAAAGTATGGCAACACAAGTTTAATATAAAAAAACAAGTAAGAATATTCTAGTCGGGCAAGACCGGTTATTAGATACCCTACATCACATTGTCTAACAAAATTCTTATTTTTGTTATAGAATACGAAAATTATATCTTGTTTCAATAGAAGGACAAATTTTTCAAGCGCGTATTTATAAGGAAATGGACCTAAAACGCAATGTAATGTAGTACAAGTTTAATCCTTACATAGGGAAGGATCCAAAAATAGGCATATGTGATCAACATTTTGTAAAGTTCATGTTTGTATGAAATTTCTATTATGGGTAAATTTTCATCGCCATATATCCAAACTTTTACTTTTCTGCTCTACAAAGAATGGAATTTCCTAAAACTCCTTATCAGGGTAGAATACCAAAAACAAAAAAAAAAGCCGAAATGATCCAAATTTCGATTACCATTGTCATATAATTTTGATCATGAAGCATTGCAAAATTATAGCGGCTTCGTCGCATGAGCTTGAGTTTTCATTATATGAGAAGGGATTCAAAAATTGCTCCTGTCCGATCCAAAGTTTTCACATCAATTTGGAATGCCGAAATAGTAATACTTAGCCGAGAAATTTTGAAAATTGTGTAATGTAACGACTTTTCAGAATAGGGCAGAATATGGAAAATGATCGAAAAAGTGGACCGATCCGAACCATTTTCAATAGCGTTCCTTGTTCGGTACCTAAACATGACATTGTACCAAATTTCATCGAAATATCTCAAAAAATGTGACCTGTATGTAGCTTGAACACAAATTTACATCGACAAACATTAGACGGACAGAGAGGTTTAGATCAGTTCAAATTATGATTCTGAATCGATCGATTATGACAAAAAGGTTTGTCTTTCTGCGTATTATATCAACCACACACCTTTACCACACAGTGAACAGTGTAGGGCATAATAAGGTTAAGGTATTTAAAGATCGGCTATTGCCGACTTATATCCGATTTAATTTGTTTTTCATATTTTTTATTAATATTTTTTTTTTTCTTCTTTTCGTCTAATTGATAAGAAAATCAAAAAGTAATTGAATGAATGCATTTTCGGTAAAGTGTCAAAAGAAAAATGATTTATTGACGACATTAAAAAACGTAAATTGTTTTTGTTTGTGAATTTTTGTTAATGTTGTTCATGTTATTTGTCAATTTGAGATGATCTAAACGCTTTTATTGCTAATTAAATCTTATTTGAAAGAATTTTTGCTTTTGTCATCTTTGATCTTCGAATTATTTAATTTATTAAAAGAATTTCGAAAGAAATGCTTTTCAGAATGTTTTCAACTAATTCGCTATTGTTGTCATAGTTGTCGACGGCGTCGCCGTTGTTGTTGTTGTCGCTATTGAGTGTTTCATTCCTCTAATTGGCAATTACATTTCATCAATGAAGATACTTGATAAAGACTTACTTGTTATTGCCGCCTAAACCGTCGCCGGGTAAAAATTGTTCCATTTCCTGAGAAGCATGCTTACCACCGCTATCCTATGATATTGACGATCGAAATAAATATTATTGCGTTAATTAAAAGACATAAATAAATTTATTTTAATAACTTACTGATATATTCACCATTTTTGTCGTTATTTTTGTTGTTGTTGTTGTTGTTGTTGTTGTAATTGTAATTGTTGTTTTTATATATATTTTTGTTTTACTCAGTTAGCTTTGATTTACTGGTATGTAAATGTTATTTCAAAAAAAATATATCTAATTGCTTACTGAGGTATATGCTGGCGGATCTTCTATAGAATCTGTAATTAGAGAGGATGAAACGCACATTATTACAACATTCCTTGTGCATTGGCAGCTAAGTTTATAAATCAATAAACTGAACTGAGACAATCAGTCAGTCAGTTAGTGATTTAAACACGTGTTCTTCTAAACTAATGCGCAAATATGTATAGAGTTAAAAAAACAAAAAAAAACATTTTTTCGAAACTTTTACGTTTAATGAAATTTTTCATTTTTTTTTAATAATTTCATAATGAACTTAATTGATATTTGACTTATTTTCTAGAATAATTAATTATTGCCATAATTAAGGACTTAAAGAATATGGTTGATGTGATTGTTATACCCATCGCCATTTTGTCAAAATGTTTTCAACGCCCACAAGAAAGCATCGGAGACCCTACAAGGTATAAATAGTCTTGATCACCATCAAATCCTAAATTGATTTAAGCAAGTCCGTATGTCCGTCCGTTTAATATCTGTTGTAAACATTATCCTGACCGCAAAAATGAAGCTATGGACTTTAAATTTGGCAAAAACAATAGAAGTTCTTACACGCAGATTGGTATTGAAAATGGTCCCAATCGGTCGAAGCACTCGCCCAAAGCATCGAGTGAACTGAGAATACCTGTGTTTTTCAAAAGTAATGAAAAATTCAGTTTTCACGCATTACTCATAAACTATAGCAAATAAATGTACAAAAATTTCAATGTATATGCTATGAGTGATGCTGTTCCATATGTGGCCTCTACAGCAGAAACCTTTAGTTAGAAGAAATCAACTACGTCAACTCCATATCATAGAGCAAGAGAAGTTTATTCTTTTACTTCTTTTGTCTTTTTTTTTTTTTGAGATAAACGTTGTTGGGTGTAAAAGATTCGGTCCCGACCGAATTTAATTTTCCTATCCGCTTTTTTTTTTCGTATCTCTTTGATTCTATTGTTACCTGAACGAGCCTCCTCACCATTCTTTAATCGAAAAAATAATTCGGAAGTTTTGCATAAAATCGTAGCATTTTCGTTGACTTATTTGAATGCCATGTCAGAACATACGCTTTGCAATCTTTCAAATTGACAAATTATCAAAGCAAGTACGTTTCTTTATCTTTTTTCCGCCCTATGAGAATGGTTGGGAATGTGCTTTATGTTGAAGCTGATAGCGGTCAACATTAGTTACCAATTTTTGCTCAGTCAATTAGCGTTAAACTATTTCTCTTTTCCAAGCATTATGTTCCAATTAGGCAGACTACGAGCATTTCCGGCCGTTCCGGGTAGTTTGTAAAAATTTGAACGACATTTATACGAACGTTTCGCTTTGTGATACGGTACGGTAATTCTGTGTCATCATCCGGTTCCATTTCCTATGTCAATTTTTCGAGCATGAACTGAATTATTGGTCGCCAGTTGTACACTTATATAGATATACTTATGTACAGTTATGTACGGTTACTTGCACGGCAGAATTAAGGTTGGAAAAGCATTTGCGTCTTTGTCGCATTGTTTGTCAGTTTAATTGTGCATTAGCTTATCGCATTTTTATTTTTCTTAACTATTTTTTTGCTTTACTTTTTAAATTTACATGCATTGACTTCAATTTTCATCCATGTATTATACATTGGTTGTGTAGATTAACTAATGATATTTACTAAATAAAAGAGAGAGAGAGAAAGAGAGAGGGAGAGAGAGAGAGATTTAACGCCAATAAATAAATTGAAGGAATTGCGGTAAGAAAAAACAATTTTTTTTTTTTTTTTTTTTCGTTTAGTAAATGCTTTTTATCATAAGTAGCCGTAAAATGAATAATGCATTGAAGGACTTTTAAAGTAAATGTCGCTTCAGCAGACAAACAATGTATTGAAATGTAAATAAAGCATAACGAATCTAAAGAACAAAATAAAGACTTTCATATTTGTTATGCGAACTTTTCAATTAGCCAGATAATGCAAAAGGCATTTTTCCCAATAATTCTACTCTTTTGGGTATTTTGGTCATAGTTCATAGGGCTTCGTAGCAGATGTCGATGTTCGATTTAAAGAGAAGGAAAATGCAGTCACACATATATTAGCCAAAGTCATTTTTCTAAATACACTTGTGCGGTTGTTGCAAGTAAACTAAGTAAACTAAATCGATGGATCGACGTAGGCAAATACTTTCAATATTACACGCTGCTCGAAACTATGTACACGTCTTAACAGATCCCTTATTATCACTATTATTATTATTATTATTATTATTATTATCCTTTTTCTTTTTTTTTTTTTTTTTTGAAACGTTACAAATGGTCTGTCAAATGTAACTTATATCGGCATTTGCATGCTGGATGCAAAACAATGTGTAAAAAAAGAAAGAGGAAAAATGTTATCGTTAAATCAGTTTCAATTATTTGTTTACTGAGCACAATTTGCTTTTGTGGGATTTATTTATTTATTTTTTTTTTTTTTTCAAATTTTCGAACAATAGACGTAATAATCGCAAATCATAATAGACTGCTATTCAAGTTTAATTGTAATTGAATTGTGATTTATTGAATTGTGAGACATATTTATTATGATAAATATGTGTGCAAATATAATTAATTTAGATTTAGATTGAAAAAGTCGCGTGCATGCATGTGCAATAAAGACTGTCTAGCAACTCTCTGGCTCTCCGGATTCTCGGGCGTTTTCTTGCAAAGCAAATATATTTAAAAAAGCAATAAAAATATTATAATGGATCACGATCCACAGTTAAATATCCTACACAATGTCGGTTAATACAATTATTCATATAACGGTTCTATATGAGAAGCGAACGGAAAAGTGATCTGATCCAAACCATTTTTGGATGCACCAAAGCTCGCCGAGATATCTCAAAAATGATGAACTATGAGATGAACACACGAATACAAGACGGACAGACGGGCAGACAAGCTTACATCAATGCAGAAAGTAATTATGAATCGATTGGGATAATACGAGGTGGGTATGTCTCGAGTCCCCCTGTCTGAATGTTGTATATATTCGCCCAAATTTAACAGTGGTATAGAATAGGATAGGGTAGGGTCTACATCTAAAGAAGTAAGCCTAGCATATGCACTTTGATATCTACCTTAGATATTAGATTAGAGAAGTACGCTTCAAAGATCTCGTTAAGTACTTCAAATCTTGACCAGTTTCAACAACCCAACGGTATTATTCGAACCCATACCCACGGAAAACAATTTTGCACTCAAATCTTCTCTCACTATAAACTAAATAAAACTAATTAGCTGAATAAATAAGCAGATAACTAAATAACTATCGCACACACAACCAAGAACTAAATAATTAAATAACTAAATAAATAAATAAATAAATAAATAAATAACTATTTAGAAACTAAAAAATATAAATATGTGAATAAAGCCCAATTCGCAGTCACGTGAACCCGGCATATACTGGGGTGAACTTACACAATCGGGACTATAATCGGGACCTGCGTGTCGATTTGAATCGGCTTGTCTTTGTCATCTTATAATCATTTCATGTGAAGAAGTGAAAACAGTGTTGGCTAAGATCGAAATTTATCCAACAATCGGACTAAAGCTTTTTCAAGCATGATTTGTGTGCTCGGAAAGTCGCTGTGTTAAGAACAATACATCTAGGATTCATTCATTATGGCAAACTGCTTTGAAAAAGTTAAGATATTGATGAGCCAGGAACCCTCAACAGATTATTAAAATTCCCATAACACAATCGATAAGCATGTACCTTGCAAAAATGCTTCGATAAGGCCATTCAGCAGCCAATTGCGCAATATATTTAACAGATGTTACCATACTGGCTGGAAGACTGCCAATGTCGAATCCACACTCAAGCACGGTGACCCCACAAATTCTACACATTATCGTCTAATTGCAGTCTGTTCCGCTATAGCCAAGACCATGGTCAACTACCATCTAACGAGATATTTGCACTCCAGATAGCGATGGACAATACGGCTTTGACGAAAATCGGCCCATTGGTGATCTAATGCCCTACCATACCGAAAAGTGGAACCCAGTTATAGGTTAATTTGACGAAAGTAAATTGTCTCTAAGGCGTCCGATAGGGTATTGCACGATGTGCTTGTCACCAAGCTCACTGCATTTGGTGACGTCAGCATTTTCGTTCGATTCATATCATGTTTCTTTGACAACCATTCGCTAAAAGTTGTAATCAACGGTTACTCCTCAAACGAGTTCTATTTAAATGCAGATGTACCGGAAGACCCTGTTCTATCTCCTTCTCTATTCGTCGGCTGCATTAACCGCTTGGTGTGTGTGCGCAATAGAAAGCTCTATCTATGCCTTTGTAAACGAAAGCACTTGTGTCACCCGTATTCATCCAGTAAGAGACCATGCAACAGCGCTATAGAGAATATAAGCTGCACGATGAACGGTACATTAAACTGGGAGCTCATAAAAATTTCTGAATGGGATTAACCTAACGCACAGGAAATGTTATGAACGTTCCTTTTTTGGGGGGTGTCAATGTAGAAGATCCGGCAACCCATGATATTCTAGGCATGAAAGTACAAAACGGACATATGCCCGGTCAAAATTAGAATATAGCTTGCATGCATGGGCAGCAGCCGTGGGCGATGAATTCCCCGATATCCTTGACCATCGGCGTTATGTGAGCTGTATTGAGCTTATGTACCAGGTACATCCTGGGGTAAATTTTCTATAAAGATAAAAGAGATTTGCCCGCCAATGAAGTCCTTTCACAGAAATCCACTGCTTTCTTAGCATGCCGCGCAACACTTCTTGCCTGACAGACGTCACCTGAAACAATTGCTGTGTTGATTGAAGCTACTTTGTGTCGCGTACTTGGTCAAAAATTTTACGGTTCAAATAATTTCATGGCATAGATTGATATCAAAATTTCATTCGATGTATGTTTTTTTTTATTTTTTATTTTTTATTTTAATTGCTTCGGTTGATATGCTTATACATATGCATAATTAATTTATTTTTCGTTCAATTCAGTCTCTTGGTTGATGATTAATTTTTTCCTTTATAT